TTTTCATCCTTCATATTTCATATTTTATTCCCTTGGGGATAGAATTAATCAAAATCCTTTCTTAGCGGATGCCTACGTCATAACATCTACCTGCATGCCAAATTTCAGCCCGATCCGTCCAATGGTTTGGGCTGTGCGTTGATAGATTACTATGTCAGTCACCTTTGAGTTATATATATTTAGATTAAGATTTACAAATTATCTTCTTATTATAAAAACGTTCAACAAAGTTAACAGTGAATATGGTTTAGAGTTTCTAGTATTGTGGGCTCGTGGTTTACTAATAGACTTTGATCCTAAGGATCGTGAGTACAAATTAGGCCAATAACAAAAAACTTTATACTTTAATTTACATTCTTGTATAACTCTCAGGTGATGGAAACACCAATAACTAATTACTCGAGAGATGGACTGTCCCGCCAGCGTAGCATATCAAGTTTTGCGTTCACCATAAACCCAACAGTTGACGCGTCTAACTAGACCACGTCTGCCTACCCCATCTAGGAACAGAGTCGTGAAGGTAAATAATATTATAATGACTATTGTTAACATATATATTATTTAACCAACATCGCATAAAATATGTTCAACTGACGACACTTTATCAGATCTATAAAATATGTCGTGGAATATAAATACGAAATTAACATAGAGTGTAATAAAGACTTCAAGATTCATAAATAATTAATGTTAAACTGAATTCTTACACCGGGAGCCTGTTGCGGTTCTTTGATAGAGTTGTGTGGTCCATGTTATAGGCGGGAGCGGAGGCGGAGCGATCAGCAAGCTGACGGCCCATCGATGGTAAGTGGTAACCGTCGCCTATATACATGAACTACACTTGGACATCACATTATCATGTGATAGCTGTGATTATGCGTTCCCTAAGATGTCAGTGTAATTTCCCTGCCTTTAATCAAAATACAATAAAAAAAGGTAATTGATTTTGTAAATTTTTTGTCATTATAACCTTGTCGACTAGTCAAGAAAAGTCTATGTTATTCCATTCTAAATTACTATGTGTGATATACATACGTTGATAAACACGATCAAAAATTTTTCCTTAAAACATATATATATTTGTACATTTTAGTCCTGAGCCGGATTTGAAAGATCAACCGCACTTTTTACAAAGTAAACTGCTTATCTGCTAGAATTGGCACACTCATAGATGACGTTATTTTGTTTCGATCCGTTTTCAGCTCCATTTTCCTGAGAATCTTGACTCTGACCTAAGTCTTCTCTATTTTTCTCCATTCTGCTCCATTTTATGCCATTTTCAGTATCCAGACCATCTACCACTTGTTTGGCTGTTTGATTGGTGCTCTAGATTTCTGTCTCTTAGTTTTTTTTATATTTAATATATTCCTTTTTAATTAAAATATTAATCTAACTTATCGCTCGCTTATTTCTCATCAATTAAACCGCACATATATTCAAATGATATATAGTTACATGGTCGGTAGTGGGTGCGTATTGTTACTGCGACAACTGTCTGTCTGTCCGTTTGTCTCGCACGTGGATCGGCGCCATTGTATTTTTTTTGTCACAAAGGGGTGACGGTGTATGGTATGAGATTCGATTGTTTGCTGCGGTTAGGAATTGACCGCACTGAACTCGCTTTAACCGGTTCAAACTGGACAGTGGTAATTTGAACGACGCTCTTTTGATAATATTAGGCTTTTGCTAATTGTTCGGTTTAATATTCATTCACCCCCTTATTTTTAGGAACGTCTTTTAAGCGTATTATATGTATTATATTTAAATAATATAATATATATATATATATATATATTTAAAGTAATTTGTGCTTTTTCTTTATTTTTTAAGTAAAGCATTAGTTGATTTTATTATAATCAAAATTTGAAATTGAATTATTTTGGCGGTCTCTTGAGTTATAGGTTTAGGACGCCTTTCTTCCGATGATCGAACTCTTCTACTTCTTTAACAAAAAACGTATTAATTGCCTGGTAATAGAAAACATGTAGAATAGAATAGAAAATAATTTATTCAAATAAACTTACATTGAAGCACTTTTGAATAGTCATCACATTTTCTTTAATCTACCGCTCATTCGAAAAGCTCACAGTCTGTCTCATCACAAGAAGAACGATCAAAAACTTGCGTGTTGCTCTTTTAAATAATTTTATTATTACTTTACATTTTTAAGTTTAAGTGTGTGAATACAAACTACAAATTAGCACTAATTCAATTAAATAATCAAATAGAAAGAATATTGAATATACAACAACTGGTTAAACAATTAATAAGAGGAAATCAGTCATTAGATTAGAGCAGATCAGTCCCTGCAAGCAGCACCCGTTCACGAGTATGACGGATGAACCAGAAATCACTGCATTCGACCATATTTTAGGGAGCCCAATGACCCACCACGCCGCCACAAATCTGGTCATTTTAGTAAGCATGACTACTGAAAACACTAGACCACGTCATAGTGACCTATATTCTGAATTTGACAAAAGTAACAATATTATAGTATTTTTTTTTTAATTAGATTCAACTCTAAATTCCAAAAACAAGCCCTCCTCAATCCTTTATTGCCTAAGTGGTCTACTTTAATGAACACGTATGAAATGTACTATAATAATAATAATCTAAAAAAAATATATTATCTCAGGACAATTCACACAGCGTCACCTAGACCCAAGTTAAGCTAGCTAAAGCTTGTGTTATAGGTACTAGACTAAACTGATACATATACATAGATATTTTGTAAATACAGACATATTATACATAGAAGACACCCAGACCGATACAAACAATCATACTCATGAATACAAATGTTTGTGCCGTGCGAGGAATCGAACCCGCGACTATCGGTCGTAAAGCGAAATAAAGAAAAAAAGTAACTAACGATCTTCGAGAAGATTTATACTTTTTGTAACAAAACTCCTCCGAAACGGCGTGACTGATCGAAATCAAAATTTCATCGAAATTAACACGCTACTGAAAATAATTTAATCTTAACAGTTGAGTTTTTAAGAATAAACGCTCCACTCAACATGAAACCTGGTGTGTATACACCGGTAACAAACCTAGTTTATATTTCTGTTAAAACATGTTTTAATAAACTTTTAAATGGCAATTTTTTTTCTATAGTCAAGCCGGAGCCTCTGTTTTTGTTCTAATCTATGATTTATTATCGAAGTGCACATCGCTTCGTAAGGGTTGAATATTGCTACAACTATAGGAGTATTTCCTATATTACGTAGTCCTTATGTCTAAGGGTATAAAGTTCAAAATATATATATGTTTGTCGGTTGATATTTACGAGGACTCCCGCCACAATTTGCATTACCGATATTGTACTTTAGTATAATGACTCGATATTTCTTTCTGTAAGATTTGTATTTTTGTATAGTTGTATCAAAACAGGGCGAGCTTTGAAAGAAATGTTTGTCTGTAGTTGTAGACTAGTTCAAACGATTAATGTACTGAGTATCTATACTAATATAGAGAGGAATAATTTGATTGTTTGTATGTTTGTTTGCAAAGCTTGTTTGTTTTTTTTAAAGTAAGGCAAATTAAAATTTAATTAAAATTGTATAAATAAATATTACAACTGATTAAAATTGTAATATAAGAGAAGATAGGTAGATATACTTTATTTATAACATACAGTAAAGAAAATACTTAAACAACATAGAACACAGTATAGTTACAATACGGCGGCCTTATTGCTGAAAGCAATCTTTACAAGGCAACCACAGGGAATCAATTAAGGAAACACTAGAATTAAATATTAAACAGGCCGGTAAATACAAATATGCAGACATTTTTTTGTAAACACATAGTAAATACCCAGAGCGATACAAACAACCACACCGTGCGAGGATTCGAACCCGCGACTATCAGTTTTTAAGCGCTGTGCTACACTACACCGCCGAGGGTGTCGGAAATAGGATTTGACATACGATACGATACGATGTTAAATGCGTTCATTCATAAAATACAAATGTATACAATGAAAAACAACCACAACAATGAATACAAATATTTGTACCAAGCCAGGAATCGAACCCGTGACTGTCAGTCGTAAAGTGCTGTGCTACCACTACATCAGCGAGGGTATCGGAAATAGAATTTGACATAGCATACATAAGTATAAATGCATTCATTAATAAAATACAAATCTATACAATGTCACTGCCCTGACTTCGAGTATTACGAGTATGGCCCCCATGTCGCCAGTCATGGGCTGACTCATTGTTTCAGTCCACAATCGCCATAATTAATTAATCAACATTATTATATTCTTGAAAAAAAAAACCGACGCAGAAGTGATGTTTCCGAAATGAACTAGCGCCATAGAGTTATGAATCTCATCAAATTGTTCCTTCTTAAAAAATAAATAAATAAAAACTACATTTGTTTCCGATAATAACAAATACAGCTTTTACTTGCTCCCTCCGATCGATCCCCGTCCAATTCAAACGGGGATCGAAATTGCGACAGCCTGAGCCGAGGTTCGAATCCGTAGCGCTGTCTTGAGACCAAAATCGTATCCGTCAGGCGGGAGTTGGTCTCCAGCCGTTCCATAAGTCCTTCTTTAGTTTTGTAGTGTCATCTGCACCCGCCCCTTATGGTCCGGTGAAGCTGTAAAGGCCAGCTCCGGTCTGACGGATTCGAATTTGGTCTCTGGACAGCGCTACGGATTCGAACCTCGGCTCAGGCTGTCGTAATTTCGATCCGTCGTAGTCCGAAAAAAAAACTTTTTGACTGTGTATTATTATAAACATGTTCCATAATTAAAAAATACGATGAGTTACTTGTCATTCATCTCGATATCATTCCTAACTGACGGGAGATTTGACATATCATAAGAGTCTGTAATAGACCTACATGAATAAAGATATTTTGAATTTGAATTTGAGTTTAATTCATTCGTTTATTTGCTTTGAATAGGTTACATTGTTCTTAGAAATAAATATATGGGAATCATGTATTTGTTCAATTAAATTTTGCATGCAAATTTATTTTATTTATAGCCTCTGTGCTGAAGATCATCAGCTTGTTCCAAGACATAGGCCTCCTCCAAGACTCCAGGCTCCTCTGCCCAACGCCTTTCTTCTCCATGTAGGTCCCGCCACTGCCTATCATCCACCCAACTCTTTTTCTGTCGCTCTCGATTTCTTTTTTGTTCTCTTGGTTACCAATCTAAGACAAAAAATTTAAGTATAGTTAATATTAACTTAATAAATTTAATAATTAATAATGAATATCATAATTATACCAAATAATAAATTGTCAAAATAATATGTATATCCAAAGCTGAGTCAGATAATTAATATAAAATGAAATTATATGTAATAATAACAATTTATGACAGAAAAATATATTTTTTTTTATAACATAGGAGACAAACGAGCATGCGGCTCACCTTATGGTAAGTGATTACCGCCGCCCATGAGCACCCGCAACACCAGGGGAATTGCAAGTACGTTGTCGGCCTTTTAAAAAGGAATAAGCTCTTTTCTTGAAGATTTCAATATCTTATCGGTTCGGAAATACCATTGCTGGAAGGTGATTCCACAATATAGTTGTGCGTGGCAAAAAGTTTCTAGAGATCACTATGTCAGTCACCATTCATCCAGATGTTATATATATAATTATCTACCTATAATTGTGTGCAACATAAATTAAACACACAGTTACAATTTACAAAGTTACAACAGCACAGAATTATAGGCAGGTAGTCGTGTTTGACGTCGACCTTTAGAATTCAGCGCTAAAAATATTACTGTATATTTTAAAACCATTTCTTAAATGCTAACTAACTTAAATGGCTTCATAGAAAGTTCTTTAAATTTATATGCAGTTTAAAAAAAGTATGCAGTGTATAGAATTATTTATTTATTTATATTAAAAAAAACCTTCAAGTAACCGTGCCCCCCTCGTGTGCTATGAGGTTTAAAACAGTAATAGTGGTCTTGCCGTTTTAACGCACCGCCTTACTTCCGATGGTCGTGAATTCGATTCCACAGTACAAACAACTAACATTAGTATTAATGAGTATAATTGTTTGTATCGGTCTGGCTGTTTTTTTGTGTATAATATTTATGTCTTTACAAAAGAAATCTATGTATATGTATCCGTTATCTAGTACCTATAACACAAGCTTTAGCTAGCTTAACTTAGGTCTAGATGGCGCTGTGTGAATTGTCCAGGATTATGATTGCTTTTATTATCATTATAAGTGACTATATGTTCAATTCTAACAGTTTTTAGTTCTACAAGAGCTCGTATGGTGTGTAACAATTAAAATGTGATGATGCGGGCGCTCTGTATGTATGTATGTATGTATGCATCGGGCGCTCTCCTCACCCGTCTCAACAGATGCACTCGCGTTTATTACAACCTATTGTATTTACGACGAATATCGCTAGTTGACAAACTTACAATTAATTGAAACTATACTTTTTTTAATTTTTATTTCTTTATTGTGGTCACTGTATTCTCCCTTCGGCTTGACCGATTTTTACGCAATTTTAGATGTATGTTCAGTAGGACTGCGAATCGGCTACTATTCATTTTTCATACCCCTCAATGATAAGGATGACTCACATCTGAATATATTTTTAGTTTATTAATAAAAAACAATATTTTTATGATATTTTAATTTGGCATTAAAAATTACGTATAACCTTAAATTAAAAACAAAATTATTATTTGGCATTTAAAATACATACAACCCTAAATTTTCACCCTTCTACCACTAACCCCTATTAATTAATAGCGATATTAGTTCTTAAAATTATATGGCAAAATTTTTGCAGCTACAACTTATGTGTTTATACCTATATATATATACATATATATCTTTGTAATTTTTTTATATCTTCTAAAAATGACACTTATATAAATCCTTAAGCTGCTTGATTCTCTCCTGGGGTATCTGGTCTAAAAACATCATCTAAATATAATGACATCACGATTTGAATGATAAAGGACGTCATTTGAAGGAACCAATACGAGTAAGTGATAAAAAAAACACGAAGTTACTTCATTTAATAATGATATGCATTTATTTCTATTTGACGGCCTCGGTGGTCTAGCGGCTTAGCATGCTACCTTATTGCCGATGGTCGCGGGTTCGATTCCTCGAACGTCAGAAACATTTGTTTTCATGAGTATGATTGTTTCTATCTGTCTGGGTGTATTCTATGTATATTATGTATGTATTTACGAAAAACAATCTATGTATTTATATCAGTTATCTAGTACCCATAACACAAGCTTTAGCTAGCTTAACTCTAGATGGCACTGTGTGAATTGTTCTGAGATTATTATTTTACAGATTTCAATGCAGTTTTTAGCAATAGATAGAGTGATTTAAGAGAAAGATTTATATGTATAATACATGTACACATGTCCGAAGGCATTCAATGTAATAAAAAAAGACAATGTGTGCGTGTATCAAATGGACAGTAATTTTGTTTTTATTGATTTAATATATTCTTTTAGCATAATAAAAAATAATATTAGTATAATGCACTTCTCTCATAAACTATAAGTGTCCGAATATCCCCCCCTCCGATCGATCCCCGTCCAATCCAAACGGGGATCGAAATTACGAGCCTGAGCCGAGGATCGAACCCCTAGCGGTGCTCTCAGACTAAAGTCGTATCCGTCAGGCAGGAGTTGGCCTTCAGCCGCTCCATAAGTCCTTCCGCGGGTTTGGAGTACCATCTGCACTCGCCCCCTAACGTCCGGTGAAGCTGTAAAGGCCAGCTGCGCGATCAGCATTAGAGTAGTCCGAAAAAAAAGAAAAAGATAAAAAAAAAGAAAAAGAAAAAGAAAAAAAAAACCGATTATTACTCCTCCGCGCAATTTTCGTAACAAGGGGCACAAAGTTTTTGCTTCACGCATTAATATATAGATTTAACAAGCTCGTAATGCTGCTTCGTTCGTGTACATAGAAAATTCGATACAGTTATTACATTTGAGTTTTATTGAAGTTAGTACAGTATTTTACATGTTAATTGAGTAATCTGTGATGCCCTCTATGGTATAGCGGGTAGCACATCCATACGTGTATGTGTTTGTATCAGTGTTGTTTGTATCAGTCTTATCGGATTTCAATCTTTTTTTAATATATAGACAATATTAACCGAGATAGAGTTTGTGAAAAGTTGTCCTCTGTCTTGTCTATGACTATTTCTGTAAAACAACTTAACTTCAGGGTTGTCGTTAATCATTTCAAAAACAAGTAGTTTTACTTATAAAAAATAGTGGGTTTGTTAAAAAAGTAAAGTTTTTTAATCCAGTGTATTTTTCTTACCGTCCACTTCCTACAGATTCAATATAGAAGAACGGGCAAGAAACTCAACTGTTTTTTTTTAATCTAGATATATATATGCAACTTCGTAGCGCACAAATGAATCGAAGCTAATCCCGAGATTGTATTTATGAATGCTTATAACATTAAACACAACGACGCCCCGTCAAAAATAATTTATTATCTATCAAAAAATAATTGTTATAATTACTTATGCAAGACTGAACCCACTATCTCCCCTCTGGTTACAATTTTTTTGTTATTCAAATAGCCTAATGACTATCGCCATTGTAAAGGGTTAGGCCGACTGACAGGCGATTCCTTTGCGTTATTAATAATATTTAAAAAAATACAGAACACTATTAGCCAAATTCAAAAATCGAACGACGTATTTGGATCGAACGCATTGTTTAAATATTTGAATGGCGAGCGTTCCATTTTTGAATGTGATCCATCTTTTATGGTTATGTCAAAATTCCACGGCGCTGTTTTGCATATGAATCCTTTTGCTCTTTTGTGCGTTTGTTTAGTTTTTTTTAATATTCGTTAGGCGCAGACGGAGGTTTGTTCTGCCAGTGTCACTAGATATTTCACGGTCGCATTTCACGCGCATTTAGTAATGCTATTGGAGTGCCATAACCAATTTTATTTGATTAAATAAATAAGTATTACAGATTTATTGGAAAATTATGAATAGTATTCATTGGAGACGGATATAACTTTAATTATAAGGTATTATTGTTGTTGAGTATTTTTTTAAAGTTACATTACTTATGAATTGCAGGTTGATGTTTCTTTTGCTGTAATTATTTTTATACCACTAATAGTGTCAATCAAAAATGGTCTCTCTAATAATATACTTGTGTAATTAGCTAAAAGCTCCTATTCGATATAAAGAATACAATTTAAGACATATGCTAAACATTTTTACAATGTTACTGGCTGAATAGAAAAAGAGCGCTAAATATAATTGTATACTCTGTATTTAAAATGTCACTTTTTATTCTATGATTTTGAAGCTTGAGTTTTGATTATGTAATAATTAGCGAGCTGTTTAGTAGGGAACTGACTAGATGTTTACTTCCCAAAATAGGATATCGAATGGACTTTAATTAAAGTTTATAATAATGTAGTGTATAAATCAGAATAACACAGAGGTACATAATATGACGCGAGTGAACCCGCGAGCACAGCTAATAATATATAACAATATATATGTCAATACTATAGGTAGTTCCGTAGATTCATTTTCTCATTATAGTAGTGCCTACTTTGAAAACATAGTGTTAATTTACTTATTGGAATAAATGGAGGGCCAATAAAGTAATTATATTCAAATAAATAATTGACATTCTTTTTTCAAATTGTTCTAATGTAGAAGAATAATATAATTTAAAAAGCCTTAGTTTTTTTTTATTAGTAAATCTGATGACATTCTGTTCTTCAATTGTTTTAATACACATAGTGTTATTTTGTTTATTGGTATAAATAGAGAGCAAATTAGTTAATTCCATTCAAATAAGTCGTGAGCATTCTATTTTTAAATTGATTTAATGTAGTAGAATAATTCTAAATTGTAATAGTTGTATTTTTTTTAAATTAGTAATTCTTTGACATTCCTTTTTTAAATTATTGTAATACACAGAATGTTATTTGCCTATTGATATAAATGGAGAGCAAATTAATCAATTCCATCATAAGACGTGAACATTCTTTTTTTAAATTGATTTAATGCAGAGGAATAATTCAAAACGCATGGTTATTTATTTTTAAAATCAGTAAGTCAATGACATTCTTTTTTCAAATTGTTTTTATACAGGTACAGTGTTAATTTGCTTATTGGTATAAATGGAGAGCAAATTAATTAATTCCGATCAAATAAGTCGTGAACATTCTTTTTTTGAATTATTTTAATGTAGAGGAATAATTTTAAAACGTACCCACTAGTTGTATTTTTTAAAATGAGTAAGTCATTGACATTTTTTTTTTAAATTGTTTTGATGGCGAGGAATAATTTTAAGACGCCATACCTACTTTTTTTTTAAATCAGTAAGTAATTGTTTTAACACACATCTATAGTGTTAATTTCCTTATTGGCAGGTATAAATAGAGAACAAATTAAGTAATTCCATTCAAATAATTTGTTGATATATTTTTTTTATTGTTTTAATGTAGAGGTATAACTAAAAAGTTCCATAGTAATTTTTTAAAAGCGAAAATCAGTAAGTAACTCCGAATAAGGGCGAGTGCACACTGCCGCCCACGGACATACACACAAACCGATCTCGTTACTAACAATGCACCATATATTACCCCGTTTCCGGTGAGAAATCACACATCTTTTGTCTCTCTCTACACCGTTCTCCTGCGTCGTGCTGTCTCCTTCTGCAATCATTCCGACACATCAAGATCATTACCAGGCGATACAGTGATTTGTATTGTATTTTTTTTTATCTCGTAATCGGTTTGGTGTTTTCGATTCGCTAAGGAAATGTTTGTTTTTCCGAGACATCTTTGTTAATAGAACAAGAGAAGTCAGTTGTTGAGACTTGTATATTAAAATATAAATAATTATCTTACTAATATTTGTAAGGAAATTTTCTATGGATTTTTTTTAACAAATAATGGGATTGCGATTGGTCTGGATGGATGGATGTTTCTTACTCTTTCACACAAACACCACTGGATTTTAATGAAACTTTACGAGTTTTTTAGAGTTTAATGAGCTTATACATCAGAGTAACACATTAGGTTACAAATTATACATCTAAATATATATAACTCAAAGGTGACTGACTGACTGACATAGTGATCTATCAACGCACAGCCCAAACCACTGGACGGATCGGACTGAAATTTGGCATGCAGGTAGATGTTATGACGTAGGCATCCGCTAAGAAAGGATTTTGATTAATTCCACCCCTAAGGGGATAAATTAAGGCGAGCGAAGCCGCGGGCAAAAGCTATTGGAACATATAATTAAAACTCAAACTGTTTAATCAACTGATTAATAAGAGTCGGTTAATTAACATGTAATCTAACAATTACGTACAAATAGCAATTAATGGCAAGCGAGCGCGGCAAAAAATGACGCGCCGCAGTTTGCCATCACTGCTCACGGGAACAACACTTTTACCGAAGGATTTTGAACTAAGACTTAGAGCAGTAATGAACATTTAACAACAACCCACAATGTGTTTTTAATAGATCAGATTTGTATCCACGACCTTTAGAATACAAGACAGTTTATTAAATTACTAATGGACGCATATGCAATAATAATAAACTGGTTTTACTTAAGTATCGTTTGACGGAAGTTAGTAATTCGTTTTATGGAAATCTGCCAGAAAAAAGATTCAAATATCTTATATATTCTATAAAACACTTTCTTTGTAAAAAAGCTTATTATTAAATTGAAGAGTTTATAAATAATAATGTTTTTATTGATAAATTCCAACTTAATGATTTTATTAACTTACATGATAATATTATCTAATTGCACAAAGATTGAGTGCGTAGCGGTTTCCGTGTTGATTATCGCATGCCTAATCCTTGTTGATGTTTAAACACTTACAACAATATTTAAACGGAAGTTCTTGCTCGTTCTTCTTATGATTACCCTGCATTCCGAATGTGTGGTAGAATAAAAAAAAAAGTGACAATTCAAAAGTGTATGCTCGTTCTTCTTGTGATGAGTCTACATTCCGAATGAAATAAAATGTGACTATTCAAAAATACTTATTCGAATATATATTATTTCTATTTCCATTTCTAATCGAGTTCGTCCAATACAGAGAATTTTTAACCCGATGTTTGCGCTGGTAAGTTCAGAAATAAATTTATTATTTGACTAAAGATTATTTCTATTTCTATTTCTATTTCTACTGGATGACTATGTAAACAAGCCCTAATATCACCAATAAATCGAGTTCATCCAATACACACAGAATTCCCGCCCAATGCTTCCGATCCATTCGAATATTTGAAATTCAAATTTGGAAATCCATTAGTGCGACTCGTCATTTTAATGTGACACCGTATTGAGTTACTCTAATTGATGGGTGGCTTTGAGTATTTTTTCAACGTTCGAAATTCGAATATTCGAATTCGAGTGCGTTCCGTTGTTAGACGCTTTCTATTGGCGGTTGCACTTCCTCGTATTTTGAGATGGGGTTAGTGACGGGAAAGTGTGTTTTTATAATCGGTTTTCACTTTTATTATTTGATCAACTGGTTATTACTAGTTAAATATTGTCAATATGATTTTTGACAATTGAGAATTTTTTTTTACTTTGGAAATGTGTTGTTACAAAAAGGTATACGAGGTATCTTACTAATATTATATATGCGAAAGTAACTCTGTCTGTCTGTCTGTTTGTTTATCCCCTATTTTATTTTCACAAACTTTGAATATCATATCTATTTATATTTAATCAACGGCCTAATAAATAAGTTTAAGGCTTCTGGATTTAAAAATGACACTTTCATAGAACCCCTTTCTTCTCCCCTTTCAACACCTTACAGCCATTTTTTCTCATCCATAAATAGCCTATGTCCTAAATACAAATAGAAATAGAAATAATCTTTATTCAAATAAACTCAATAGAAGCACTTTTGAATAGTCATATTTTTTATTTTACCACTCATTCGGAATGCAGATTCATAACAAGAAGAATGAGCAAGAAACTTGAAACTTGTGTGATGCTCTTTAGACTGTCAGTGTACCAAATTTCATTTAAATCAATTCAGTAGTTTTGAGCTGAAAGCGCGACAGAAATATAGACAGAGTTGCTTTCGCATTTATAATATGAGTAAAGAGTGGAGAAAGGGGATTGTTTAGTAATGTACATTGATAATCTTATTGCTAGCAATGTACCATGTCAGATTGACTTCCAAGCGGTTCCCCTGGAAACCATCCTGATTACTTCTTGGTGAATTTGTTACGATGCTACCTGACCTGACCTCATCTTATCGTCCTCCACTGGTGCCTGGCCAGCGTAAACCGTTAACGCAGGCAAGTGCACCATTCCATTATCATCCTTAAAAAAATATGAGTAAGGATTATTATTATATTATTAAGATGTCGCGTAACGTATCTTCGAAATTATGGCAATTTACTATTTTCGGTAGTCGGCTGACAATAAGCATGTACCATTTATTAAATGTATCATTTGTAGTGAAATCGTAGCGTGTAATTCATATTGATGGTTGTATCGATGCGGCGTATCGATTCGCCTGTCAGGACTACTCGATCATTAATCTCGAGTTACAACTCGTTCGCTCACTGTAACAATATGTTATTAATAGTATTTTTGTCAACGTGCATTTGTGGAAATGTTGTTCCTAATTCAAATATATTTTGAATAAGTTCTTTAAAATCGATTAAAAATTTTCGACTACACTTTAGTCGACAAATTACGGTTTTTATTTTAACTGAAATTGACTGATGTTTCTATTTTATAGCTACTTACTTCCTGATATATGCTTAAATATCTTGACAATGTATAAATGCATAAGTTTGTAAGTATGGATGTTTGTTACTCTTTCACGCGAAAACTAATTTATTTATTTATTTTATTTTATTTATTTATTTCGAAACCAACATACACAATACATAAAAACAGAGAGTACTAACCAATAGTATAGCTATTTTTCACAATTTCAGTAAAAAATATAAGAAAATTACGGACTTCACATACAGATAACAGGAATACATTCTGAGATTTCAGGAGTGACCTAGGCCTACTGAACAGATTTTGATGAAATTTTACATTAATATAGCTTATACATCAAAATAACATATAGGCTATAAATATTACGTAAGTTGGACTAAGTAAGTGTGATGCGGACGAAATTGTCAGGTTAGATAGTATATATATCATTACATAGTATAAAACAAAGTCACTGTCGCTGTCTGTCCGTCCCTATGTATGCTTAAATCTTTAGAAATAGGCAACGGATTTTGAAGCTGTTTTTTTTTAATAGATAGAGTGATTCAAGAGGATGGTTTATATATATATATATATATATATATATATTTTTATATATATATATATAATACATATACACCCGTCCGAAACCGGGGCGAGTAGCTAGTATACTATAAAATTGAATCATCAGTTCATATCGCCAACTCTTATGTTTGACGTTAACACAATTATTACCGCAAAATACGAATAATGTCGGTAAAAAAGCCGAGTAAATAAAAGACAGATGGGTCCTTTGTCGGTGTGGTAACCGACGCGACGCCGACGCAGTATAGGCGCGGGTAATGAAGCGGCACTGGCGGCACCTGCCGGCAATCTCATCCACTGCGCCACTGGGTGTCAGCCGGTGAGTGTGGAGGTGGCTTGTTAAGTCGACAATAATTAGGAGATGGACTTTTATTAATGTAACTTTTTTGGATCTGAAATTCGGAAATTTTCATATGTAGCGTCGGATATACTGCAATAGTTTGATACATCTGTGTTATGTGTATGATATATCACACGAGTGTGATAAATAATTATAGAGTCGACAAGTTAAGAAATTTAATGAAAATAACTTAATTGTCCCACTCCATACCTAACAATATGTCAGTTCCATTTGGAAATTATATTTTAGCTTTTTTATATAGTACGATCGTAGCACACAAGCATACGGCTCATCTGATGGTAAACGGTTACCGTAGCCTATGAACCCCTGATACACCAGGGTGTCACGTGCGCGTTGCCCTTAAGACGCTGTAGCATAGGGTATGCACTTACCGTGATATAATAACAATCTCAGAGCAATTCACATAGCGCTATCTAGACCCAAGTTAAGCTAGCTAAAGCTTCATACTCATGAATACAAATGTTTGTGCCATGCGAGGAATCGACCCCGCGACCATCAGCTAGACCTCCGAGGTCATCATATATATTTGGACGAAAATGTATAGATATGCAATATCTTGCAGAGCGAATGGGGTCTGTTACAAAGACTTTGATTACCAATGATTTAAAATTATATTAAAAGCGCTCTCCACAGTGCTACATCCATTAAATGAAGGAAAGTAAATGGCCGTTGATAATTGCGGAATAATTCTACGATTATTGTTGTTCGCGAGCCGTTTTTAGATCGTTCCAATCGATATATGCATAGACAATTTGTATGAACTCGACCGAGAACCGTTTTTGTACGAAAGTACGCGCGATTCGTACAAAAACGTGCTCCCGGAGAAAGTTCTGAAATGAATCATTCGATCTGTTTTAAATTGTTCAAGTTCATTGTTCTCGCGCTGCACTTATTTCCTCGTAATAGAAAACATGTCGTTACTAAAGGCAATCTTAGTGATGTAGATATAAAGTTCTTTATTGCATATAAAGAAAATCAGTTATAGATATTTTGAAAATGGATATTATAATAAAAATTGATATTCTCTATACTATGTCTTTTCAAAAATAAATCTTAGTCGTGTAGATATAAAGTTCTTTATTGCATATAAAGAAAATGACTTATCATTAATATACATATTTTGAAAATTTAATTTTAATGTAATCGAAATTTGAAAATGGAAATATTTTGGCGGTTTCGTGAGTTATAGGTTTAGGACACCTTTCTTCCGATAAGCGAACTCTTTTACTTCTTTAACAAAAAAACATTGATTTCCTGGTAATAGAAAACATGTCTTTACTAAAAGCAATCTTAGTGTTGTAGATATAAAGTTCTTTATTGCATATAAAGAAAATCAGTTCTCATTAATACAGATATTTTGAAAATGGAATTTTATTATAATAAAAATTGATATTCTCTATACTATGTCTTTTCAAAAAGAAATCTTAGACTTGTAGATATAAAGTTCTTTATTGCATATACAAGATTGAGTTGTTAATAATAAAGATATTTTGAAAATGGACTTTTAA